AAATTAAATTGAAAGTCGAAATTAAAAGGTATACAGTGCCTTCGGAAATGTATTCAGACCCCTTGACTTGTTCATTTTTTTTTTTTTTTTTTACGTTACAGCCTTATTCTAAAATTTATTAAAAAATAAATAATCCTCAGCAATCTACACACAATACCCCATAATGACAAAGCGAAAACAGGTTTTTAGAGTTTTTTGAATATATATATATTTTTTTGTTGACATGAACTGTCAACTGTGGGACCTTATATAGACAGGTGTGTGCCTTTCCAAATCATGTCCAATCAATTGAATTTACCACAGGTGGAGTCCAATCAAGTTGCAGAAACATCTCAAGGATGATCAATGGTAACAGGATGCACCTGAGCTCAATTTCGAGTCTCATGTCAAAGGGTCTGAAAACTTATGTAAATAAGGTATTTCTGTTTTTAATTTTTTTTTATTCATTTGCAAACATTTCTAAAAACCTGTTTTCGCTTTGTCATTATGGGGTATAGTGTGTAGATTGCTGAGGATTTATATTTATTTAATCAATTTTAGACTAAGGCTTTAACGTTAACAAAATGTGGGAAAAGTCAAGGGGTCTGAATACTTCCCGAAGGCACTGTAGTGTACTACTCTTGACAGGAATAGGGTGTCATTTGGGACGTAGCCAGGTGTATTTTTACGTTGTTATGGTGAGATCAGAGATCATGTCTCCAGGGGGAAGTTCCTGTCCTTCGACGTATAAAAATCCATCTACCAGATGATAGTGATGATAGTGTGTTTTCAGTTTTAATGTAGGCAACATCTGTGCCACTGTTTTAGGGGATTCACAGTCAGGTCCCATTGAGAAGTAGCCTTAGCTTTTGGAATAAAGCAACATCATTTTAAACGTGATTTCTCCTTATTAGTGTCAGTACACAGCAAACATATATCCAATCCAGTGACTTCTTAGTGAGGTGTCCTAGTGTTGGGACTGATCCAATCCAATGATCCAATCCAATGATCCAATCCAATGATCCAATCCAATGATCCAAGCCTAAAATTATCCAGACTCAGCAACTTTGTCTTGGCAGTGAACTGGACAGGACAAGACAGGACAAGACATAGTGTGTGTGTCTGTGTGTGCATGTGTGTGTATGTGTGTGTTCAGCCTGTCTGTCTGTTTGTCTGTCTGTCTGTCTCTCTCGTAACACTCCAGCGTCTTTCTTGGATGTGGGGCTGGCATTGGCCAAACAGCTTAACGGACACGAGGCTCTCTGCCAGAGTTTAAAGGAAGCTGGTGCCTGGGTTAACTCCCCGAGCCTACAGACAGGTACTGTAAGGCTAGGGAACACACAGGCACTGTAGGGCTAGGAGACACAGCAGGTCACTGTAGGCTGGGAGACCAAGCCTTCACTATATGCTAGGGAGACACGCAGGTCACTGAGGCCTATGTGGGGGGGGGGGTGGTGGGGGGGTGGGGTGGTGGCGTTGGGGGAAGGGATACACAGCAGTCACTGTAGCAGGAGAACCACAGTCAGGCACTGTAGGCTAGGGAGACACAGCAGTCCACTTAGCTAGGGAGACACAGCAGTCACTAGGCTGGATACACATCATGTCACTATATGCTAGGGAGACACAGCAGGTCACATGTAGTGCTAGGGAACACACAGGTCAATGGCTAGGGACGACACAGCATGTCGCTGTAGGCTAGGGAGACACAGCAGTCACTGTAGGCTAAGGGAGACCAGCAGGTCACTATAGCTATGGAGACACAGCAGGTCACTATAGGCTCGGATACCAGCAGGTCCCCTATCGGCTAGGGAGACCAGACAGTTCACTATAGGCTAGGGAGACACAGCAGGAGACCAGCAGGTTCACTATAGGCTAAGGGAGACAAGCAGGTCCACTGTAGGCTAGGAGACACAGCAGGTCACTATAGGGAGACACAGCAGGTCACTGTAGGCTAGGGAGACACAGCAGGTCACTATAGGCTAGGGAGACACAGCAGTCACTGTAAGAGCTATGGAGAACAGCAGGTCACTATAGGCTGGGGGAGGGAGACAAGCAGGTCACTATAGGCTAGGAGACACAGCGGTCACTGTATGCTAGGGAGACACAGCAAGTCCTATAGGGAGACACAGCAGGTCCTGTAGGTCTAGGGGACACAAGCCGGTCACTATAGGCTTGGAGTGCACAGCAGGTCACTGTAGGCTAGGGATACCACAGCAAGGGTAGGGTCCGATAGGCGAGGAACCCAGCAGGTCACTATAGGCAGGGAGCCACAGGCGGGAGACACAGCAGGTCACTATAGGCTAGGGAGACACAGCAGGTCACTATAGGCTAGGGAGACACAGCAGGTCACTGTAGGCTAGGGAGACACAGCAGGTCACTATAGGCTAGGGAGACACAGCAGGTCACTGTAGGCTAGGGAGACACAGCAGGTCACTGTAGCTAGGGAGACACAGCAGTCACTATAGGCTAGGGAGACACAGCAGGTCACTATAGGCTAGGGAGACACAGCAGGTCACTGTAGGCTAGGGAGACACAGCAGGTCACTATAGGCTAGGGAGACACAGCAGGTCACTATAGGCTAGGGAGACACAGCAGGTCACTATAGGCTAGGGAGACACAGCAGGTCACTGTAGCTAGGAGACACAGCAGTCCACTGTAGGCAGGGAGACCATCCAACCCCAAAAAATGTCACTGTACTCGGGAGACCAGCCAGTGTCACTGTAGCCTAGGTGGGAGCCCCCGCAGGTCACATATCTAGTGAGACCTCAGGTCACTATAGTGCTAGTAGACCGCAGGTTCACTGTAGTCTAGGAGACACAGCAGTCACTATGGCTAGGGAGACACAGCAGGTCACTATATGCTAGGAGACCAGCAGGTCACTGTATGCTAGTGATACCAGCATGTCACTATAGGCTAGGAACACAGCAGGTCACTATAGCGAGGGAGACACAGCAGGTCCACTATAGCTAAGGGAGACACAACAGGCCAAAAGGGTCCCCCCCCCCACTAAGGGCTAGGGAGATCACAGCAGGTCACTGTATGCTAGGAGACACCGCTCTGTGTAAATTCCAACCTAAATAGAATCCATGGAACGGGCCTCCCCATTCAAGTCAATGATGGCATAATGGATGGACTGGCAGCCATTTTCAGTGTACCCATGAGTTACCGTCAAGGAACCAAGAGGTTCCGAGGACATTGTAATGGCTGGTGCATGTTACCGTCAAGGAACAACTATTTTCAACTATTGTAATGGCTGGTGCATGTTACCGTCAAGGACAAAGAGGTCATAGGACTATTGTAATGGCTGGTGCATGTTACCGTCAAGAGGCCTAGTGCTAACTCGCGATACTGTTAATAACCAGGAATGCCTTTTGACTTGTACACGTTCTATTCCAACTCAGTGTCCCCTAGAGCTGCAGTGCTCCTTGCTTCAAGTTTAGTAGTATTACACATTTTCTAACTTGGAAATGAGGCTTGCCCTATAACTGTCAGTTTTACCCGCCATTTTCGCCCACAGTCCAATGTGTAAGAGATGAGACTGGAGGTTTATTTTCTGCTTCCTGACAGGTCCTCTCTTAGGGTCCTGGGCCATGCAGTGACCTGAGTTCAGACTGACAGGCTAGCAATAGCTGTGACACCAGCAGCTGAGCCGTACACACACACACACACGCACACACACACGCACACGCAGACGCAGACACGAACACACACACACACACATACACACACACAGAGACACACACACACACAGACACACACACACACAAGCAGCTTTTATGTGTGAAACATAATGGCACATTTGTATGGGCATGTGACGTCATAATTCCTAATCTTTTAGATGATTTTTCTATGACAGGTCTCCACCCTCTTACCAACTGGTCAGACTTGCGTTATCATACTTCCAAGTCTCACGCGAGGAAGCTGGGAAGTGGAGGCTATTTAGACTCAGACTGTAGTCAGATGGTATCTGTGTATCATCAGGTCACACCACAGAGAGAGAGATCCGGGACTCATCAGGGCTCAGGGCCAGAGAGTGGCCCACTGGTGACTCACCAGTCTGGGTCTCCTGATCTACCCTAATCTCAAATCACTGGATGGTGTCTTTACTAGGTTGGACCGGAGCCACATATATATATAAAAAGTTCGGCCATATTCTCTAAATTTTGGTGATATAATTTATAAGAGGTTTTAAGGCATTTTTGGCAGAATGAAATTGATGCAGTCAATCAATGCAAGATTAATAAAATTCACCAATAAATCGCTGGGTAGTCTAATAAATATTGCTATCAGGTTTTGCATCATTGTTTGCTGCCTCCAGCTATTCAGGGGATGAACTGTTTCAGTTTCACTGACCCAATAAACAAATGAAAAAAAAGGGCAGTGATTAGGACTCTACACAATCAATCTAGCTATGCAGTCACGTTATGTTGCTAAGGCCATAGTTTATCTATTCATGTAGGCCTACTTATTTAGTAAGCTAGCTATATAGTTTGATAGCTAAGTAATTTAGCTAGCTACCACTCTCTCTCTCTCTTCTCATGTCTCTCGCTATCTCTCTCTCATTTCTATTCCCACTCTTTGATTCAGGCTCTGGTTCCCAGTAGCAGAGTGGGCTACTCGGTCTATTTCTGTCCCTCTGATAGAGATGTGTAGGGTAATTTACGGTAACCGTAATCTCATGTTTTAAAGAGGGCCATGAGACTAACATCATCCCCCCCCTTCCCCTCACATCCCCCCCCCCCCCCCCCCCCCCCCCCCCCCACACACCCACTTCCTACAACTCCTACACAGCCACTTCCTACACCCCCCCTCTGGCTAGCTTCCACTCTGCTACTGGAAACCAGAGCCTATGACAGCTGAATCAAAGAGTGGGAATAGAAATGAGAGAGAGATAGCGAGAGACATGAGAAGAGAGAGAGAGTGGGGTGATTGAGGGAGTTGGAGGGAGGGGGCTTGGCGTTATGGAGTGGGCGTTGTACGTCTACAAATAGCAAATCTGCTGTCCACCAGCCCCTCATTCAGTCCTCCACCTCCAACAGCAATCAAGTTCCTCCAGCCAGACCATCGGACAACGTCCACCATGAGCAAATCCTTCTCCTCCCAGTCCGCCCAGTCAGCCTCCTCCTACCGCCGCACCTTCGGCTCCGGTGTTGGATCCACCCCAAGCATGTCCTCCATGTTCTCCCACGGTGGGCGCGGCTCCTCCGGCTCGGCCCACATGTCCTCCAGAGTGTATGAGATGACCAAGACCTCCGCCCGCCCGAGCTACTCCTCCGGCGGCATCCGTTCCTCCTCCGGAGGCGCGATGCGCTCGTACGCCGGGATGGGTGAGAAGCTGGACTTCAACCTGGCCGACGCCACGAACCGCGACTTCCTGGACACCAGAACCAATGAGAAGGCAGAGCTGCAGCACCTGAACGACCGGTTCGCCAGCTACATTGAGAAGGTCCGTTTCCTGGAGCAACAGAACGCTACTCTGGTGGTGGAGATCGAGAGGCTGAGGGGCCGCGAGCCGACCCGCGTGGCCGAGATGTACGAGGAGGAAATGAGAGAGCTGAGGCGCCAGGTGGACGGCATGTCCAATGACCGAGCCCGCATAGAGGTGGAGAGAGACAACTTGGCTGATGACCTGCAGAAACTCAAACTCAGGTGAGAGGTCAGAGGTCAGGGGTCAAAACATACAGCAAATCAAATCTAAGTTTATTTGTCACATGCACAGGATACAGCAGGCAGGTTCAGTGAAATGCTAACCTGCAAGCTCTTCCTCAACAACGCAGTGTTCAATGAGAGAGACGTTAGTCAAATCACTGGCTAATACGCTCTTGATTAAGAAATCAAATGGCATGAGAGAAAAGCCACGTTAGTAAAAACTGAAGAGAGGAGGTTATTATATTCAGGAGCCACTGTTGGAAGACAATGGAAGTAGATTTAATTCAAACTGCATAAAGTAGAAGTTGGTAAAAACCCAAAGAGAATCCCTGAAACTACCTGTTAACTATTACTACTGTAAAACATTCTTCATGAACTTGTTCACTTGAGAAGTTTGGGCCGTTTGATTATGGGCCCCGAAATATATCAATATCGTGATATTCCAATAACTGTACGTTTTCTGTCTGGAACTACTTGAGATGTATCAATACACGACGGAACAGGTGTTGTCTGTTGTGCTGAGTGAAAGCCATTCCTTAGAATGTAGCCAAAGACTGATATGATCAGAATATGTGTATGTTTTTCTGCTGAATGAAAACCATTCCTTAGAATATAGGTTGAATGGGGAGTAATATTGTCCGAGCAGTGATTTGGTATCCTCCATCTTAGAGTGAGTAGGAAAACAACAGCCATGTCGTGTCGGGTGACGCACAGTGACGGTGTCAGTTGACATTGAAATGAACCAATGAATACTTGAAGTTCTCTCCTGCTTTGAGAAAATGCTTGAGAATGAATGCAGAAGAGATTGAGAAAGAGAATGTCAGAAAGAGGGTGCAGAAGACAGAAGATAGAAGAGAGCAGTGTGATTATACAGTGGGGGAAAAAAGTATTTAGTCAGCCACCAATTGTGCAAGTTCTCCCACTTAAAAAGATGAGAGAGGCCTGTAATTTTCATCATAGGTACACGTCCAGAAAATCACATTGTAGGATTTTTAATGAATTTATTTGCAAATTATGGTGGAAAATAAGTATTTGGTCACCTACAAACAAGCAAGATTTCTGGCTCTCACAGACCTGTAACTTCTTCTTTAAGAGGCTCCTCTGTCCTCCACTCGTTACCTGTATTAATGGCACCTGTTTGAACTTGTTATCAGTATAAAAGACACCTGTCCACAACCTCAAACAGTCACACTCCAAACTCCACTATGGCCAAGACCAAAGAGCTGTCAAAGGACACCAGAAACAAAATTGTAGACCTGCACCAGGCTGGGAAGACTGAATCTTCAATAGGTAAGCAGCTTGGTTTGAAGAAATCAACTGTGGGAGCAATTATTAGGAAATGGAAGACATACAAGACCACTGATAATCTCCCTCGATCTGGGGCTCCACGCAAGATCTCACCCCGTGGGGTCAAAATGATCACAAGAACGGTGAGCAAAAATCCCAGAACCACACGGGGGGACCTAGTGAATGACCTGCAGAGAGCTGGGACCAAAGTAACAAAGCCTACCATCAGTAACACACTACGCCGCCAGGGACTCAAATCCTGCAGTGCCAGACGTGTCCCCCTGCTTAAGCCAGTACATGTCCAGGCCCGTCTGAAGTTTGCTAGAGTGCAGAAGTTTGCTAGACCTGTCTCAAAGAGTCCCCATAGTAGACAGACAGACAGACAGACAGACAGACAGACAGACAGACAGACAGACAGACAGACAGACAGACAGACAGACAGACAGACAGACAGACAGACAGACAGACAGACAGACAGACAGGCAGGCAGGCAGACAGGCAGACAGGCAGACAGACAGGCAGGCAGACAGGCAGACAGACAGACAGACAGACAGACAGACAGACAGACAGACAGACAGAGACATGCAGAAAACAGAGACATGCAGAAAGACAGACAGACAGACAGACAGACAGACAGACAGACAGACAGACAGACAGACAGACAGACAGACAGACAGAGAGAGACAGACAGATAGACAGACCGAGACAGACAGACAGACCGAGACAGACAGACAGATAGACAGACAGACAGCCAGATAGACAGACAGACAGACAGACAGACAGACAGACAGACAGACAGACAGACAGACAGACAGACAGGCAGACAGGCAGACAGGCAGACAGGCAGACAGAGACAGCAGGCAGAGACAGGCAGACAGGCAGACAGGCAGACAGGCAGACAGATCGTCTTTGTCCAACAGTTGCTCAGAGCCCTTTACGAATCAGGAGTCCCAGAATACCATTCCCATATTAGACCACTATTCTTATCCATCCCAATTTACCCTGAGCGCCTGCCGTACCTCTCCTAAATATAACTATTTATCAGCAGGACTATTGGATGCTGTGTCTGACTCTGTGGAATGCAAGGCCTCATGAGAGTCTATACACAAACTGTGGGAGCGTTCAACAAGTTTCAAGTTTTTATTGTCACGTAAGACTAGTACAGTGAAAAGCCTTTCAGGCTCTTTCCCAACAATGCAGTAATCAATATCGGTAGTACGGTAGTAGGAAAAATTATGTAAAAAGCCAAGTAGAACACAAACACAGGAGAAATATAAATAAAAAGAACAGTTAGTGGTTTGACTGTTGTTAACAGACGTTTCTATGTAGAGGTACTGGATCAGCAGTGTCAAATCGTCTCTGGGTTTTTTTTCTCTCTGCACTGTAACAGCTGATGGAATCTATCTCCTTCAAGGCCTGTGTGGGAGGAGTTTGGATGCAGTGGGGAATGAGAGAGAGTCAAAATAGTGTGAAAGTGGAGGTTGGAAGGTTGAGGGTGGAATACACAGCTGCTGTGTGATACTGACCTCAGATCAACTCAGGGTTGGTATTCATAGTGTATTAGAGTATTATCTAGTATCCTAGATCAGTGCTCCTACCCTGAGACACATACAGTTCCTGCTCTGTAGTAGAACACTGCCTCCAGCTTCTGTCAGCTATACTTGCTCCCCTCTGTCTGTCTGCTCTGTAAAGGAGTTTATCGCCGACGGCAACATGAGACACACGGCGTGGTGGGAATCAGTCGCCTCCCCTGTGATCTAAACACAGAGTCCTGACATGCCTTAAGCCTGCCAACCATTACATGTGCCATTTATCAGACACTTTGATCCAGAGCAACTCACAGTCATGCATGCATACATTTAACGTGTGGGTGGTCCCGGGAATCCAACCCACTATCCTGCCGTTGCAAGCACCATGCTCTGCCAACTGAGCTACAGAGGACCACAGATAAGCAGAGTATCGCCGTGGGCTATAATAGGATACATACCCACAGTGTCAGTGATGTCTTTATCAACAGTAATGACACAGTGTAGGTGTCTTTATCAACAGTAATGACACAGTGTCTGCATCTAAAGTAATGACACAGTGTCGGTGACGTCTGTATAAACAGAGCATGGTCAGCTATGTTTAGCCATTCAGGAAGCAACCAGGACACAAAAAGGATGTCAAATGATTTGTAGGGGTTATAACCATCTCTGTACCTCATTGCCCTCTCTGCTTTTGTGTTTGACCCTTGACCTGCCTTAGAACAGCTGCAGGAGTCCACTGTATGAAGAATGTGTGTCTCTGGAGGAAGGGTCCATTCCTCTGGTCACAGAGAGAGACTGTGCTTTAAAGATAAAGTGATAACGCACATCATTAACTCTCCCCTGAGATACTTTGTGTTTGTCCAAAATGGAGTTGCTTCCCAGCCTATATCTGCTGTGGAGTATACTCGGTGTAGTCTGTTGGTTCAACAGTGTAAAGTCTGCTGTTCAAACAGTGTAAAGTCTGCTGGTTCAACAGTGTAAAGTCTGCTGTTCAAACAGTGTAAAGTCTGCTGTTCAAACAGTTTAAAGTCTGCTGGTTCAACAGTGTAAAGTCTGCAGTTCAAACAGTGTAAAGTCTGCTGGTTCAACAGTGTAAAGTGGGCTGGTTCAACAGTGTAAAGTCTGCTGTTCAAACAGTGTAAAGTCTGCTGTTACAAATTGTTTGCATAGTCAATTTACACACAACACTGACACACACACTTACCCCATCAGACACGCCACCAGGGGTCTTTTCACAGTCCCCAGATCCAGAACAAATTCAAGGAAACATACAGTATTATACAGAGCCATGAGTGCATGGAACTCCCTTCCATCTTATATAGCGCAAGTGAACAGCAAACCTGGTTTCGAAAAACAAATAAAGCAACACCTCACGGCATAACGCCTCTCCCCCATGTGACCTTCTTGTTGTGTGTATGTACTGATTTGTATGTGTAACTGATAGATGCACACACACATTACATGTTCATGTTTTTAAAATGTATGTAAATTGTAAAGTATTTTGTCTGTAATGTCCTTTTCATTATGTGTTGGACCCCAGTAAGACTAGCTGTCGGCTAATGGAGATCCTAATAAATCTAATCAAAATCACAACACCTACTTACAGGCTCAGACAGGGAGGAAAATGTTGTCTCTGAATCTGTTTAACAGTCCAATTGAGCCTTTTCTTTAATATCTCCCTCCCTCCCTCCCTCGCTCCCTCCCTCTCTCCCACTCTCCCTCCCTCCCTCCCTCCCTCCCTCCCTCCCTCCCTCCCTCTCTCCCTCCTCCCTCCCTCCCTCCTCTCCCTCCCTCCCTCCCTCCCTCCCTCCCTCCCTCCCTCCCTCCCTCCCTCCCTCTCTCTCTCTCTCTCCCTCCCTCCCTCCCTCCCTCCCACTCTCTCTCCCTCCCTCCAGGCTGCAGGAGGAGATCCACCAGAAGGAAGAGGCAGAGAACAACCTGTCTGCTTTCAGAGCTGTGAGTCACACTTTCCTTCTCCTTCTCTCTTTCTTTGGCAGCCTTCAGAAATGTCTCTCTTCCCATAATGATCAATGAAATACATGCAGTCAAGTTAGATCAACAATAACAGTGCCGAGTGTGACACCAACATGAACTGGGCGGCAGGTAGCTTAGTGGGTAAGAGCGTTGTGCCAGTAACCGAAAGGTCGCTGGTTCTAATCCCCGAGCCGACTATGTGAAAAATCTGTCGATGTGCCCTTAAGCAAGGCACTTAACCCTAATTGCTCCTGTAAGTCGCTCTGGATAAGAGCGTCTGCTAAATGACTAAAATGTAAATGTAACTGAAACTGCAATTCTTCCCCAGAGTAACTTCTGAGTCTCTCTCTCTCTCACTCACTCTCACACTCTCTCTCTCCCTCTGTCTCTCTCTCTCTCTCTCTCTCTCTCTCTCTCTCTCTCTCTCTCTCTCTCTCAGAAACGTAGACATTAAACATCCTCTACTATATCCACTGTTCTTGTTCTGTTTCTCTAGGATGTGGACTCTGCCACTCTGGCCAGGCTGGACCTGGAGAGACGCATTGAGAGCCTGCAGGAGGAGATCACCTTCCTCAAGAAGATTCATGAGGAGGTCAGTAGTGTCCCAGGGCCTTTATGTTTAACCCTTTTTTTCACCCTGCGATAGATTAGCGTCCTGTTCAGACTTGTACATCAAGCCTCACGCTACAGAAACAGGAGATATATGTGGTCCTCTGTAGCTCAGTTGGTAGAGCACGGCGCTTGTAACGCCAGGGTAGTGGGTTCGATCCCCGGGACCACCCATATACAAAAATGTATGCACGCATGACTGTAAGTCGCTTTGGATAAAAGCGTCTGCTAAATGGCATATTATTATTATATAATTACCCATAGGGCAGGAGCCTGTCTCAGACAAGGATACTTACTTATACCCTTTTAACACTACTGAGCCAAGCTGGGCCAAGCTGAACTGGGCTGGCTTGTTTACATATCTACCATAGTTGCTGGAACCATGCTACAAGGTCAACGTGAAAAGAAAATATACAAACCAGTACAGTGTGCTGCAGAAAAGAGTATAATCGTCTCCACATCAGCCTATGTCAGTTCCCGTGCATTCTTTATCGTCAGACGTTCCCCCATTCGACCCTTCTATACACCAAACCTGCAGCTGTTCTTTCTGCTTGACATTTTCATGGTGGGGAACATAATGTAAATATAAAGACTGCATGTCGCTGACACAAACCCTTTGTGTCAGTATTTACCCCTAAATATACAGTTAGCTCAATATAAACCCCTAAATATACAGTTAGCTCAATATAAACCCCTAAATATACAGTTAGCTCAATATATACCCCTAAATATACAGTTAGCTCAATATATACCCCTAAATATACAGTTAGCTCAATATATATCCCTAAATATACAGTTAGCTCAATATATACCCCTAAATATACAGTTAGCTCAATATATACCCCTAAATATACAGTTAGCTCAATATATATCCCTAAATATACAGTTAGCTCAATATATACCCCTAAATATACAGTTAGCTCAATATATATCCCTAAATATACAGTTAGCTCAATATATATCCCTAAATATACAGTTAGCTGGAGTATCATATATGTGGCACTCACTGTTACTATAGAACAACATTGTAGGGCAAATATGACATGCATACTTACAGTAAACACACCACACCACACAACCAACTATACACACCACACCACACAACCAACTATACACACACCACACACAACCACAACACACAACACACCAACAACTATAACACACCACAGAAACAACGATACACAACCACACCACACAACCAACTATACACACCACACCACAGAACCAACTATACACACCACACCACACCACACCCACACCACAGAACCAACGATACACACCACACCTACACAACCAACTATACACACCACACCTACACAACCAACTATACACACCACACCACAGAACCAACGATACACACCACACCCACAACCCACACACACACCACACAACCACAACACCACACCACAGCACACCTACACCAACACCACTATACCACCACACACAACCACACACACCACACACACCACACCACCACAACCAACATACACACCACACCACCACCACACAACCACAACCACACACAAACCACACCATCAAAACACACACACACACACAACGCACACCACACCAACACACACCAGCACTACAACCAACACACACCACACACCAACACACACCACCACACCAACGATACCACACACACCCACACCAACACCACCCAACCCACACCACACAACACTACACACCCCACACCACACCACCTACAAACCAACACTACACACCCACACACCACACCACACCACAACCCCCAGACACAACCAAACGAGACACCACCGACACGCACACCCCACAACCAACGAGACACACACACCACACCACACAAACCAACTATCAAACCACACACAGGAACCAATGATACACACCACACCACACCACACAACCAACTATACACACCACACCACACCACACCACACAACCAACTATACACACCCCACCACACAACCAACTATACACACCACACCACAGAACCAATGGTACACACCACACCACACAACCAACTATACACACCACACCACACCACACCTACACAACCAACTTTACACCCACCACACCACACCACACAACCAACTATACACACCACACCACACCACACCTACACAACCAACTATACACACCACACCACACCACACCACACCACTAACCATACAGCTCCACTGCGTACAGTGGATGGGAAGAGGGACTTTTCTAGTTTCTTAAGCCAGAAGTCCTTTCATGCTCTCTCTTCTTCCCCCTGACATTTGACTTTAGAGAAATGCTGGCATGTATCAGCTGGTTCGTGACATGGAGGGCCCTCTGTAACGTTATTCAACACATGCACAGCTAAAATTAAACTATGAGAGAGACAGAGACCATTGGTCCTGAATATGAAGGACAGAGAGAGAGAGAGCATTGGTCCTGTATATGTATTGTAGGAGCCAGGGTTCTTCCTGGTGGGGCGGCATAGTCAGTGTAACTCTGGGCCGTATGTATAGTCAATAAATGAGGAAAGTGGAGGAAAATAATTGCTGTTAATGCTAAAGGCTGATAATCTAAATTAAATCCTGTATGTACCCCGACCCCTAACCTCTGAACTCTGACCTCTGAACTCTATCCTCTGACCCCTGCAGGAGATCCATGAGCTGACGAGCCAGATGCAGGAGACCTCAGTACAGGTCCAGATGGACATGACCAAACCAGACCTGACCGCTGCCCTCAGGGACATCCGCATGCAGTACGAGGGCATCGCCGCCAAGAACATCTCAGAGGCAGAGGAATGGTACAAGTCCAAGGTAAACACCACCTATAATACACAGTGGTATTAAATATGGTAAACACCACCTATAATACACAGTAGTATTATATATGGTAAACACCACCCATAATACACAGTGGTATTATATATGGTAAACACCACCCATAATACACAGTGGTATTATATATGGTAAACACCACCTATAATACACAGTGGTATTATATATGGTAAACACCACCTATAATACACAGTAGTATTATATATTCTGGTAGAGTACAGAGGACAGGTACAAGTCCAAGGTAAACACTAGAAATATGGGCGGGTAGTTAGAGAGGCTTGCTGCCATCGGATTGGTTGAGATAATTGGTTTAGGACAACACAGAAGGGGATTGGAGACTATTCCGTTTCAATTCAGTGAATTCATGACGTTGAAATTTGAAATTAAATTGACTGCATTGCAATGAAATGAAATCGACCCCAAGTCCCCAACCCTGGCAAAGAACATGTGACTGCCAGTACTTGAAGTAAAGCAGGGCTAGATAAGCTAAAGCTGGATATGATATGTGGACTGTGACAGTAGCTCAGCTGACTACATCGGCACTACTAGACAGTGACAGTAGCATCTATTCTAACCCATGTCTCCACCTCCTCTCCAGGTGTCAGACCTGAACCAGGCTGTGAACAAGAACAACGATGCTCTGAGACAGGCCAAACAGGAGAGCATGGAGTTCAGACACCAGATCCAGTCCTACACCTGCGAGATCGACTCTCTCAAGGGAACCGTGAGTACTCTATTACTACATCCTACTCTATATCCTCCTGGACTATTACTACATCCTACTCTATATCCTCCTGGACTATTACTGCATCCTACTCTATATCCTCCTGGACTATTACTACATCCTACTCTATATCCTCCTGGACTATTACTACATCCTACTCTACATCCTCCTGGACTATTACTACATCCTACTCTATATCCTCCTGGACTATTACTACATCCTACTCTATATCCTCCTGGACTATTACTACATCCTACTCTATATCCTCCTGGACTATTACTACATCCTACTCTATATCCTCCTACACTATTACTACATCCTACTCTATATCCTCCTGGACTATTACTACATCCTACTCTATATCCTCCTGGACTATTACTACATCCTACTCTACATCCTCCTGGACTATTACTACATCCTACTCTACATCCTCCTGGACTATTACTACATCCTACTCTATATCCTCCTGGACTATTACTACATCCTATTCTATATCCTCCTGGACTATTACTACATCCTACTCTATATCCTCCTGGACTATTACTACATCCTACTCTACATCCTCCTGGACTATTACTACATCCTACTCTACATCCTCCTGGACTATTACTACATCCTACTCTGTATCTTCCTGGACTATTACTACATCCTACTATATATATTCCTACACTATTACTACATCCTACTCTACATCCTCCTGGACTATTACTACATCCTACTCTGTATCTTCCTGGACTATTACTACATCCTACTATATATATTCCTACACTATTACTACATCCTACTCTACATCCTCCTGGACTATTACTACATCCTACTCTGTATCTTCCTGGACTATTACTACATCCTACTATATATATTCCTACACTATTACTACATCCTACTCTACATCCTCCTGGACTATTACTACATCCTACTCTGTATCTTCCTGGACTATTACTACATCCTACTATATATATTCCTACACTATTACTACATCCTACTCTACATCCTCCTGGACTATTACTACATCCTACTCTACCTCCTCCTGGACTATTACTACATCCTACTCTATATCCTCCTGGACTATTACTACATCCTACTCTATATCCTCCTGGACTATTACTACATCCTACTCTATATCCTCCTGGACTATTACTACATCCTACTCTATATCCTCCTGGACTATTACTACATCCTACTCTACATCCTCCTGGACTATTACTACATCCTACTCTATATCCTCCTGGACTATTACTACATCCTACTCTATATCCTCCTGGACTATTACTACATCCTACTCTACATCTTCCTGGACTATTACTACATCCTACTCTACATCCTCCTGGATTATTACTACATCCTACTCTATATCCTCCTGGACTATTACTACATCCTACTCTATATCCTCCTGGACTATTACTACATCCTACTCTACATCCTCCTGTACTATTACTACATCCTACTCGATATCCTCCTGGACTATTACTACATCCTACTCTGTATCCTCCTTGACTATTACTACATCCTACTCTATTTCCTCCTGGACTATTACTACATCCTACTCTACATCCTCCTGGACTATTACTACATCCTACTCTACATCCTCCTGGACTATTACTACATCCTACTCTACATCCTCCTGGACTATTACTACATCCTACTCTACATCCTGCTACACTATTACTACATCCTACTCTACATCCTCCTGGACTATTACTACATCCTACTCTACATCCTCCTGGACTATTACTACATCCTACTCGATATCCTACTGGACTATTACTACATCCTACTCTACATCCTGCTGGACTATTACTACATCCTACTCTACATCCTCCTGGACTATTACTACATCCTACTCGATATCCTCCTGGACTATTACTACATCCTACTCTACATCCTCCTGGACTATTACTACATCCTACTCGATATCCTCCTGGACTATTACTACATCCTACTCGATATCCTCCTGGACTATTACTACATCCTACTCTATATCCTCCTGGACTATTACTACATCCTACTCTACATCCTGCTACACTATTACTACATCCTACTCTATATCCTCCTGGACTATTACTTCATCCTACTCTACATCCTCCTGGACTATTACTACATCCTACTCTACATCCTCCTGGACTATTACTACATCCTACTCTACATCCTCCTGGACTATTACTACATCCTACTCTACATCCTCCTGGACTAAGTGTACTCTTGTTTGCTTCCTTTCATGGATTTGACAGGAAAGGATTGGTGTAGGAAATATGTTAGAAACTCCATCTAGCCATGGCTTACACCAATCCAATGCTTTTAAATGTCTGCGGAGTAGTACATACTTCAGGACAATTCCCTAACCTATCATCACTTCTGGACAATTCCCTAACCTATCATCACTTCAGGACAATTCCCTAACCTATCATCACTTCAGGACAATTCCCTAACCTATCATCACTTCTGGACAATTCCCTAATCTATCATCACTTTAAGCACCTCTCCACAGGCTCCCCTCTCAATCTAACTATGATGCCTGTTTACCCACCTTACTGTTTATGTAATCACCCCTCTCTCTCTCCCCCCTACAGAACGAGTCTCTGCTGAGGCAGATGAGGGAGATGGAGGATCGTCTGGGAAACGAGTCTGGAGGTTACCAGGACTCCATCACCCGTCTGGAGGCTGAGATCGCCAAGATGAAGGATGATATGGCTCGCCACCTCAGAGAGTACCAGGACCTGCTCAATGTCAAGATGGCCCTGGACATAGAGATCGCTACCTACAGGAAACTACTGGAGGGAGAGGAGAGCAGGTAGGAGAGAGGGAGGAGTAGGGAGAGGGATAGAGGAGAGGGAGGGGAGGAGTAGGGGGAGGAGCAGGGGGAGGGATAGAGAAGAGGGAGGGGAGGAGTAGGGGGAGGAGAAGGGGGAGGAGCAGGGGAGGGCTAGGGAAGAGGGAGGAGAGGAGTAGGGGAAGGGCAGGGGGAGGAGCAGGGGAGGGCTAGAGAAGAGGGAGGGGAGGTGTAGGGGGAGGAGCAGGAGGAGGGATAGAGAAGAGGGAGGGGAGGAGTAGGGGGAGGAGCAGGGGAGGGCTAGAGAAGAGGAAGGGGAGGTGTAGGGGTAGGAGCAGGGGGAGGTAAGTGAGTGAGTAAGGTTATCATAAACTGGTCATTTCACCTGTAATTAACTGTTCTGTTGGTCTTCACTGTCTTCCCCAGAATCACTGTATCTGGCTCCCAGTCTTCCCACTCTGGCTCCCGCTCTAATGCCTCATTATATTCCACTGTTGGATTCAGAGGTGACTACTGCAAACACACTTCCTCACAACTGTCAGCAATGAGTACTATGTGACACGTGTACAGGAAGTTAAAGTAAGGGGTCGTGACAGGAACCTGAGAGAAGCATCACAACTTCACCACAAGGTGGAGTTGCCGTGCCATGAATTCATGCATTTCAGATATCGACATCACTGAGACCACAATCAATTAAATGAAAACAATTGAGCATGATTGAAGTTGATTGATTGATTGATTGATTGGGGGTAATTCAACTGTGGCTTTTTGGGTTAGGTTGAGGCAGAACGAATCATACTCTGGGTTGGCGTTGATGTTAGGTTGGTTTTGTGTTTCTGTTAGCTTGGTGTTGTGTTTCTGTTAGGTTGGTTTTGTGTTTCTGTTAGTATAAGGTTGTCTTACCTCTGTCCGATCCCATCCACAGAGACCAGCCCAGACGCCGGGCGATCATCAGAGGTCCACTCCAAGAAGACTGTTCTGATCAAGACCATCGAGACCCGCGATGGAGAGGTGAGATAAACGCACACAGAAGATGCTTAGGACCAATATCGGCTCAGTCCCAAATAACACCCTATTCCCTATATAGCAAACTACTTTTGATCAGGGTGAAAAGTAGTGCACTTTATAGGGAATACATTTTACATTTACGTCATTTAGCAGACGCTCTTATCCAGAGCGACTTACAAATTGGTGCATTCAACTTATGATAGCCAGTGGGACAACCACTTTTTTTTATGGGGGAGTGGGGGAGGGGGGGGGGGGGGGGGGGGGGGGGGGGGGGTAGAAGGATTACTTTATACTATTCCAGGTATTCCTTAAAGAGGTAGGGTTTCAAGTGTCTCCGGAAGGTGGTCAGTGACTCCTGGCGTCGTGGGGGAGCTTGTTCCACCATTGGGGTGCCAGAGCAGCGAAGAGCTTTGACTGGGCTGAGCGGGAACCGTGCTTCCGTAGAGGTAGGGGGGCTAGCAGGCCAGAGGTGGATGAACGTAGTGCCCTCGTTTGGGTGTAGGGACTGATCTGAGCCTGAAGGTAAGGAGGTGCCGTTCCCCTCACAGCTCAGTAGGCAAGCACCATGGTCTTGTAGTAGATCGAGCCTCAACTGGAAGCCAGTGGAGTGTGCGGAGGAGCGGGGTGACATGAGAGAACTTGGGAAGGTTGAACACCAGACGGGCTGCAGCGTTCTGGATAAGTTGTAGGGGTTTAATGGCACAGGCAGGGAGCCCAGCCAACAGCGAGTTGCAGTTAGCCAGACGGGAGATGACAAGTGCCTGGATTAGGACCTGTGCCGCTTTCTGTGTAAGGTAGGGTCGTACTCTGCGAATGTTGTAGAGCATGAACCTGCAGGATCGGGTCACCGCTTTGATGTTAGCGGAGAATGACAGGGTGTTGTCCAGGGTCACGCCAAGGTTCTTTGCACTCTGGGAGGAGGACACAATGGAGTTGTCAACCGTGATGGCAGCTCCGTCTTGCCGAGGTTCAGCTTGAGGTGGTGATCCAAAATGCACACTGATATGTCTGCCAGACATGCAGAGATGCAATTCGCCACCTGGTTATCAGAAGGGGGAAAGGAGAAAATTAATTGTGTGTCATCTGCGTAGCAATGATAGGAGAGACCATGTGAGGATATGACAGAGCCAAGTGACTTGGTGTATAGAGAGAATAGGAGAGGGCCTAGAACTGAGCCCTGGGGGACACCAGTGGTGAGAGCACGTGGTGCGGAGACAGATTCTCGCCACGCCACCTGGTAGGAGCGACCTGTCATGTAGGACGTAATCCAAGAGTGAGCAGCGCCAGAGATGCCCAACTCGGAGAGGGTGTATAGGAGCATCTGATGGTTCACAGTATCAAAGGCAGCAGACAGGTCTAGAAGGACAAGAGCAGAGGAGAGAGAGTTAGCTTTAACAATGTAGACAGCCTCCGTGACACAGAGAAGAGCAGTCTCAGTTGAATGACAAGTCTTGAAACCTGACTGGTTTGGATCAAGAAGGTCATTCTGAGAGAGATAGCAAGAGAGTTGGCCAAAGACGGCACGCTCAAGAGTTTAGGAGAGAAAAGAAAGAGGGATACTGGTCTGTAGTTGTTGACATCGGAGGGATCGAGTGTAGGTTTTTTGAGGAGGGGTGCAACTCTCGCTCTCTTGAAGACGGAAGGGACATGGCCAGCGGTCAAGGATGAGTTGATGAGCGAGGTGAGGTAAGGGAGAAGGTCTCCGGAAATGGTCTGGAGAAGAGAGGAGGGGATAGGGTCAAGCGGGCAGGTTGTTGGGCGGCCGGCCGTCACAAGTCGCAAGATTTCATCTGGAGAGAGAGGGGAGAAAGAAGTCAAAGCATAGGGTAGGGCAGTGTGAGCAGGACCAGCGGTGTCATTTGACTTAACAAATGAGGATTGGATGTCGTCAACCTTTCTTTCAAAATGGTTGACGAAGTCATCCACAGAGAGGGAGGAGGGAGGGGGAGGAGGAGGAGGATTCAGCAGGGAGGAGAAGGTGGCAAAGAGCTTCCTAGGGTTAGAGGCAGAGGCTTGAAATTTAGAGTGGTAGAAAGTGGCTTTAGCAGCGGAAACAGAGGAAGAGAATGTAGAGAGGAGGGAGTGAAAAGATGACAGGTCCGCAGGGAGTCTAGTTTTGTAGGGTACACTACTTTTGATCAGGGCACCCATAGGGCTCTGTTCAAAAGTAGTGCGCTATATGTGGAATAGGGTGCCATTTGGGACGCGTCCATGGAAACCCACAGCTGACAGTCAATCAGTAGGGGAAAGTACCACTCATATAGTCATGCAGGCCTAGCTAATAAAGGCAGACATAATATTTCGTAGCCTTACAGCTAATCAATGTGGAGAAAATCAACATTTTGTATTCATTTCCTTCATTCATTTTGTTCTAGATTACATATTCAATGAGCGATGGTGCTAGTGCTCCGTGTGTAAGTGCAGTTTAAATCTCAACTGTTGACCAACCACCTTTAATTAACACACTTCTCCTATCCTCACCCCCTCAGTACTAAACCTGATGGCTATGTTCTCTCCACCCCCTCAGTACTAAACCTGATGGCTATGTTCTCTCCACCCCCTCAGTACTAGACCTGATGGCTATGTTCTCTCCACCCCCTCAGTACTAGACCTGATGGCTATGGAGGACTCACTACTCTTCACATTAAACTACAGATGTGTATTGTCCTGTCCTGTCCACACTGTAACGGTCTCTAATGTAGAGTACTCTGATATGTGTTCCATGTATGTGGCCCATAAAAACTAAAGGCTGTTTTATCAACAAAAAAAAAAGGAATTTCAAGAGTTAGCCAGCCGAGCAAGTAAGGTATTTCCTACTTCTGTGCGATAGAAGCGATGTGAAGTAGGCCTAATATACACTGAACAAAAATATAAAAAACAAGTGTTTGTCCCATGTTTTATGAGCTGAAATAGAAGATCCCAGAAATTTTCCATACACACAAAAGCTTATTTCTCTCAAATGTTGTGCACAAATTTGTTTACATCCCTGTTAGTGAGCATTTCTCCTTTGCGAATATAATCCATCCACCTGACAGGTGTGGCATATCAAGAAGCTGATTAAACGGCATGATCATTACACAGGTGCACCTTGTACTAGGGGCAATAAAAGGCCACTCTAAAATGTTCAGTTTTGTCACACAACACAATGCCACAGATGTCTCAAGTTTTGAGGGAGCGTGCAATTGGAATGCTGACTGCAGGAATGTCCACCAGAGCTGTTGCCAGAGCATTGAATATTCATTTCTCTACCCTAAGCCGCCTCCAACGTAATTTTAGAGAATTTGGCAGTATGTCCATCCGGCCTCACAACCGCAGACCACATGTATGGCGTCGTGTGGGCGAGTGGTTGGTGAAGTCAACGTTGTGAACAGAGTGCCCGATGGTGGCGGTGGGGTTATGGTATGGACAGGCATAAGCTACGGACAACGAACAGAAGTGCATTTTATCGATGGCAATTTGAATGCACAGAGATACCGTGATGAGATCCTGAGGTCCATTGTCGTGCCATTCATCCGCCACCATCACCTCATGTTTCAGCATGATAATGCACGGCCACATTTCGCAAGGATCTGTACACAATTCCTGGAAGCTGAAAATGTCCCAGTTCTTCCATGGCCTGCATACTCACCAGACATGTCAAACATTGAGCAGGTTTGGGATGCTCTGGATCAAAGTGTACGACAGCGTGTTCCAAATCCCACCAATATCCAGCAACTTTGCACAGCCATTGAAGAGGAGTGGGACAACATTCCACAGGCCACAATCAACAGCCTGACCAACTCCATGCGAAGGAGATGTGTCACGCTGCAAAAGGCAAATGGTGGTCACACCAGATACTGACTGGTTTTCTGATCCACGCCCCCTTCCCTTTTTTAAAGGTATCTGTGACCAACAGATGCATATCTGTATTCCCAGTCATTTGAAATCCATAGATTAGGGCCTAATGAATTTATTTCAATTGACTGATTTCCTTACATGAACTGTAACTCAGTAAATTCTTTGAAATTGTTGCATGTTGCATTTATATTTTTGTTCAGTACAGTAATTTCTGCTAGATAGCTTTGTAAATGAATACAAGACAACGTTGCATTCTCCGCGTTGCCAGTGATGGCCAGCCCACATTCTGATACACATCACAGTGATGTGTAAAATCGCTCACCCGTAATAAAATGCAGTGTGCTATTATAAACAGCATTCAATGCTTTTGAAGAAGTGGCAGCAGCGTTCATATAAATTATGTCGTCATAGTGAAGGGCTGACAGGAAAGTCAACTGAACAATTGTTTTCCTACTATCAAGAGAAAGGCACAACCTATATCTGTTTAATTCTCAGCTTCTTCATTAGCTCATCTATATGTGTTTTAAATGACAACTTGTCATCAATCCAAATGCCAAGGTATTTATATGAGGGGACTCGTACACTATTGTATTTTGTACTATGTTGTATTTTGTAAATTGTGTGTAATTGTGAGATGCAGGGCTCCCTTGCAAAAGAGATCTTGGTCTCAATGGGACTTCCTATTGAAAGAAAGGTTCAATATAAACAATTAAATATGCTGCACTATGTCTCTCTAAACCATCTGTTTGTTGTCTCTATGTGCCTGACCTTTCCACCCTGACTGACTGTCCTCTGCTCCCACAGGTGGTCAGTGAATCTACACAGCAGCAGCAGGACATCATGTAAACAACAACAACAACAAGTTTAAATTAGGATTGATGTTTACATAACAAGATACGAGGGGTTCTCTAGCTACCGTTTCTAAGGAAAGCCTATTTTAAAAGGTCTATTTTTGAGAGGGAGTGAGGTACGAACACCTTACGAAGGTGTTATAATCACCTTATGCAGGGTTATGACCGCCATAGGAATGTTTATAACTCATTAACTCCTACTAATCAGATGTTATATGACCCATCACCAAAGGAGAAGAACACAGGAGAAGACAATGTTACAGTAATCAGGAAGGTGGGAACAAGGTGGAGTGGAAGTCAAGTCATGCCCTGGCCAGAACAGGAACACGCATGGCTAGACGGGAGCGCCAGAATGTCAAGAATAGGATTTCTGTAGTGCACGTTTTTGCAAGTTTGTGTGTGTGGGTGGGTCTCTTTGCTTCACAATGTTTCACAGTGCCAATGATTTGAAAATAAAGATATATACGGTATGTTCAAAAGAGAATTCTATTGATTCGATTGATTTTGCTCGGGTAACTTCATTTGTCAAGCATGAGTCATATTTTGGTGTGCATCCCAAATGGCACCCTGTTCCCTTTATAGTGCACTACTTTTGACCATGGTCCATAAGGCTCATAGGGTTCTGGTCAAAAATAGGAAATATTGTGCTATTTGGGATGGCCATTTGGGATGGCCATTTGGGAAATTAAAACAGAGATGGTGTTATTAATGAGCTACTCATTCCTTGTTTCATTTGTTTTATTACATTATAAGAGATCCCAGTGTATTACAATGGTGTAACAATGATTTCGTTTCCTAGTCTTCATAATAACAGGAGGAGGTAATACTAGTCTTCATAATAACAGGAGGTAATACTAGTCTTCATAATAACAGGAGGAGGTAATACTAGTCTTCATAATAACTGAGGAGGTAATACTAGTCTTCATAATAACAGGAGGTAATACTAGTCTTCATAATAACAGGAGGAGGTAATACTAGTCTTCATAATAACAGGAGGTAATACTAGTCTTCATAATAACAGAGGAGGTAATACTAGTCTTCATAATAACATGAGGAGGTAATACTAGTCTTCATAATAACAGGAGGAGGTAATACTAGTCTTCATAATAACAGGAGGAGGTAATACTAGTCTTCATAATAACAGGGGAGGTAATACTAGTCTTCATAATAACAGGGAGGTAATACTAGTCTTCATAATAACAGAGGAGGTAATACTAGTCTTCATAATAACAGGAGGAGGTTATCTTCATAATAACAGGAGGAGGTAATACTAGTCTTCATAATAACAGGAGGTAATACTAGTCTTCATAATAACAGGAGGAGGTAATACTAGTCTTAATAATAACAGA